CTGTCCCAATTTGTTTGCCACCTTACTGTTTAAAGTATCGGACCATTCTCTTTTTTTAACAGTCCTATCAACTACATGATATATTAAATTATTTCAGCTATAAAAAATGTGCTTTGCAGCACTTCTTATCTGACAAGCATGTACTGTTATTTCCAAAAGTAAATCATAAACCAAATTTAGATAAATTGACTCTAACACGCCGAAATTAAATGATTTAACTCAGAATACTAACTCTCGTACTATGAATCATGCCATTTTTTATCTCTAACAAAAAGGTACTAAAGACTTGATATTCAAGTTCACACCAAAAATTTTTTAGGTGATTCAACTCTCACACACCGAAATTAAATTATTTACTCTGAATTACTAACTCTCTTACTATGAATCATGCCATTTTTTGTAAAAAAGAAAGTATTAAAAACTTGAATTTCGATTTCACACCAAAAAAAATTGGGTGAATTGACTTACACACCGAAATTAAATGACTTACTAACTCTGAATTACTATTTTTCTTACCATGAATCATGACATTTTTTATTTACTAACAAACAGGTACGAAAAACTTGACGTTCGAGTTCACACCATTTTTTTAGGTGAATTGACTCTCACACACCGAAATTAAAAGAAAACTATGAATTACTAACTCTCTTAATATGAATCATGCCATTTTTAAAAATAAACTAAGTTAAAGACTTGATTTTCGAGCTCACACCAAAACTTTTTTTTAGGTGAATTGACTCTCACACACCAAAAATAAATGATTTAACTCTGAATTACTTACTCTCTTAGTATGAATCATGCTACTTTACTAGATATAAGAATATATTAGAAACTTGATATTCAAGCTCACACTGAAAAAAATTAGGTGAATTGACTCTCACATGCCGAAATTAAATGATTTAACTCTGAATTTCTTAAACTCTCTTACTATGAAGTATAATCATGCCATTATTTATTAATTTAATAAACGAAGGTATTGCAAACTTCATATTCGAGTTCAGACCAATTTTTTTTAGGTGAATTGGCATTTTGTATCCTGGTAGTCCGAATTACATCATTCTTTTTCAGGTGAAGAAAGTAGTAAGTAAATTTATACAGAGGAAGAGAAGATTGACCTCGGGAATTGAGCCGGAGCTGGAACAGAGTGGTAATGTGACGGAGAAATTACGGAAATGAATCCGGCAAGGCTTGATGCTGCTGAAGCTGGAGAAAGACGGTGAGGATTGAAGAAATTTTGAGAAAAATACTGAAGGCTTGGAGATTGGATATGGTTGGAGGAATTGGAATCGAGCTATGGCCGCCATTGTTGCGCTACTAGATTGAAGCTTCGAATTTGAAGGATGGGGCAAAATCTATACTATATTTTATTTATTTCTTCAAACGATAATTATTATTTATTAGTACTAAAAATATAATTAGAGAACTTGATAAAATATTTTTAAATTTCTTTTTTTTTACTTACATCTTGTTTGGATGGTTGTTATAAATGGTATTGTATTAGTTAGATTTAATATAATGTTTGTTTTGATTGATAATTAAATTTATTTCGTTTTATTATATATATTTACTAATAAAATTACGCGGGAATTTAATATCACTGAATTTACAAAATAATACTTAAAACTTATGAGTCATTAAAACTAATATATTATATTATCTTACATACAGGATTACGTATAACAAACATTAATAATGTAAAGGAAGATGATAATTATAATATCTTATCATATATCCTTCAATCAATCATCTTTAATTTGATTTTATAATTTATCTTTTTGCCCAGGAAGTGTTATTACTTGACATTTTTGGGGATTCAAATGAACATCAATCATATCGGAGATATTAAATTTTCTAATAAATAAATAATCGTTGGTGAAGGGATAAATAAATTTTAAAAGGATGAAAAAAAATGAACAAATATTCTAATTCTAACGTGTTGAAAGTTCAGCGCTACCTTTTGCTTTACATATATCATTTTAAAGTTCCCATTTAAATGTAT